GAACCAATCAGGAATGTTTGAGCTTTGTTTTGTGGGGTTTGGAGTGTGTGTGTGGGGGGGGTTTTGTGTGTTGTTGTTTTGTTGTTTTTTTTTTTTTTCCCTGCCCTAGACAAGGAGTGTGATAGTACACAGAGATAATCCTGTGGGAGACGAGGCTCAATGTGCAGCTTGTTCTTCAGGTTGCTTGAATTCTTGCCTGTTGCTCCTTGGTGGTGGTTACTAGTAACTTTACTGTTTTGGACAGAGTTACTGGGACTCAAAACTGTAGCTTTCCCAAAACAACTGGAGCATCTTAGAGGTGTAATGTGTCAGTGCAGGACAGGTTTGCTGGTTGAGTTGTGGTGGGTAGCAAATCCTTGTACAAATCTTCTATAGGAAGAGAACCTTCTGTAGCCCAGAAAAACACTTTGGGGGTTTTGGTAGGTGTCTTTCAAACCCATTTCTCTGAAGCAAGTGGAGAATCTATCAAAGCATAGTAGGAAATGCATCTCTGTGCTTCCTAATGCATTTGTTCAGGTCGAACTGCAGTCAGGTTTGCACACTTATGAGGGTAAAGTCCTTCCTTTACAATTTGACTCAAATATTTGCTTCCAACTCTTCCCAGTACCTGGCTCCTGAGGTGCTAAAGAAGCAGCCATATGACAGGACAGTAGACTGGTGGTGCTTAGGAGCTGTCCTCTATGAAATGCTGTTTGGACTGGTAAGTTTGGAAGTGGTCTGTTTTTACTTTACATGGTGGGGAATTTATTTTCAAAAGTTGTGGTATGAGGTTGGTCTGGTGTTCACATGGTACCTGACACAGACAACTGAACCCTGAATTAGATGACCCAGTTCAACCATGCCGTTGCCCTTTTGAACAGAGAGAGATGGCAGGTCTACCTCATCTACTCACTGCAGGACTCGTTTTGACCTGTGATGTGTGGTTCCTTCTGGTAGCTCATGTTTTACCTGGCTACTTCTCCTCTCTTTCAAATTAGCCTCCTTTTTACAGCCGGGATGTGTCTCAGATGTATGATAACATACTGCACAAGCCACTCCAGATCCAAGGAAGCAAGACTGTGGCAGCTTGTGACATCCTCCAGGGACTCCTCCACAAGGACCAGAAGAGGAGGCTGGGTGCCAAGACAGACTTTGTAGGTGGCCTCCATGACTATTGGGAGGGGATGATGGATAGGAAAGCTTTCTATTCTAAGCCTTTGTTTCATAACAGCATCGCCTTGGAAAAAGCTTCCAATGCAGCTTGATGTCTCTTCAGCTTCCTGAAAGGGGCATATGGGGTTGACTTGGATTTCCAAAGGAAAAAGTGTGGTGGCAAGCTAGGACACCAATGTGTGCTGGCGTCATCTCCCTTCAAGGGATTACTGAGTCATGACCCTCATGTACTAAGGATTTGCTACTGGTCCCTACATGGATATGTGGTAGCTCTAAGTCTTGCTTCAACCACTTCATGCTATGAAACCAGCTGGCAGGTGCTGGAAAAGGAGGGTTGATAGAAGACTGACTTCCCCCCCCTTACTTTCTATGCAGCTTGAGATAAAGAACCATGTATTCTTCAGCCCAATAAACTGGGATGACTTGTACCACAAGAGGATTACTCCTCCGTTCAATCCCAACGTGGTAAGTGGCTATTTCTGTTGGTATCTGTTATATAGTGGTACAAAAGTAATCCTCTCCAGATGTCTTATGCTGACACTGAGGGGTGCTGAAGTGCAGGTTAGGAACTGCAAATGTAGTGGTGATGACACTTTTGGAAGAGCAGCTGTGTTAGGCTCTTTGAACACAAGCGGTTGGTTGAGGTCTGCTCACTTGAAACGACTCTGTGTCTCTCTGCTCCTTGGCTTAGGCTGGTCCAGCTGATCTGCGACACTTTGATCCAGAGTTCACTCAAGAAGCAATCTCCACCTCCATCACTCACACGCCTGACCTAGCAGCCAGCAGCTCCAGTGCCTCGGATGCATTTTTAGGGTTTTCTTATGCACCAACTGAAGAGGGCATCTAGGTTTTATAAAGGCTTTGAGAAGCCAGATTTTAATTGAATGGGTTTTATGTTCTGGTTTTTCTTTTTTTTTTTTGGAAGGATTGGTACTGTTTTTTGCCCATGGTTTAAGGAAATTTGGACTAATACACTAACTGGCTGGGATGGAACAGGGCTCTTAACTTTTGGTGGATTTCCCTCTAAATGTCTGTTCCCCTGGCAGGGAAAATGGGACACTGAGTATGATGATTTCCCCCTGAGTGTCTTGTGCTACTTGGCAGAATTCTATTCACTCTGTGGCTGTATTTATGGTTGAGGTATGTACCATCGTTCACACCAATAGCCATGTTCCTGGCCACTTTTTTTTTGGTCGACCTAACTCTGCTCAGCTATGTCCAACTGCTTTGCCCCCCCAATAGAGAGGGGAAACTCTTCACACTACCAACAGTAATGGCTTCTTTCCTTTAAGTAGACTGTGCCACTTAAGCCACTCATCCTGGACTGAAATGGGCTGAGAAACTGTTCATCAGTTATTGCTCCGAAGGCAGCTGCAGGTCTGTAAATCCTGAACAGTGCTGTGGCCTTTTGTGCCAGCCAGTCCCTCCCCAAGGTGAGTGGATCATCTCTTTTTGGTCCAGGACTGGGATGCTACTGAAGCAACATGGAAGTTGTTATGGAGGAGCCAGTGTGTAGGAGGAAAATCCCAGATAAAATGGGTGGGGAAGAGGCTGAGTCACTTGGGGAAAAAAAGAAATAAAAATCACCTTATGGCCAAACCCTGCTTGGGGTGGGGGGATCCTTTCACAGCATGTGCTTGACTTGCCCGAGGCACACCAACACTACTGCAATGAGCATGATCTGGAGCGCTGCAGAGGACAGGACAGCCTGCAGCGAGGGGACCCGAGCCCATGTGCTGGGCTGGCCAGCAGTGCTGAGCCCTGGCATGCAGGAGAGGGAGAGCAGCAGCAGTCCCCCAGGCTCCAGCGCCTGTCAAAAATGCCTGTCACTGATGTAGACTAGTTATTTATTCTGCCTTAATTTAAATGCTGGTGTATTCACTGAATGTCACTTTTCACCTTTTTTTTTAAGTCATTTTGTTCTGTTGCTGTGGGGAGGAGAAGGGGGGGGCTAAGAGCTTCTAACTGCAACCTGGGGATAAACAAGGGGGTTTCTAAAGTTGTGTGATGCTCACACTGTTGGGAAGCTTGTGCTGGAACATTTTTTTTTATTGGACTTTACCTTGTACATGCAGAAGTAATCAGAAAAATGACATGTTTATATTAAAGTGCGTACACTGGTGTGCTTCGGTCTCTGTCCTGTATGCGAGGGAGTGGTGGGAGGTGGGTGTTGGCTTTAGGCTGTGCCTGAGAGCAGCTGTGCCTCAACACTTTGGCAAAAGCTTTTGGTTTTTCAAATTAAATAAAAAAAATCAGTACTTTAGGCTAACATAACGATTGGGATCTTTTCTTTGACCTGGGCCTAAGGCGCAAAAACCTGTGCCTCGGGGGGCGGGACGGGACATGGGCCTGCCCTGGGCCACTGACAGGCAAGGGCTGGCCCAGGGCAGGCCTCAGCGGTCACCGGCTGAGCGCCGGCCCTGCCCGGAGCCAGGGCTACGCTGGCTGCAGT